TGCCCTATCATTTTGATCTAGATCTCGTTCTCTAACCTTCGACCTCACCTATTTTCTCTTAATTAGTATCCTTCACGGTTTGGGTTCCTTATTTGGCCGCCCTTTAAAAAAGGATAATGCTACCTCTAATAGCTCAATGCCCTCTATCGCTCTTGTTCTTATTGAGTTAATGTCACCAAATGCTATCCATATTCAGTGTGGCTAGGACCTGAAAATTTGGGATATATTCAATTTGTGGAAATGGATGATTTTCCTTCTTATTGTGCTCAAGGCAAATCTTTGGGGTTTTCAAAAATGGATTGTTGCATTTTACACCCTCATCTAGTTGAAGCTCCCATAATAAACCCTATCTCTGTAAATGTGGGTGATAAGTTTAATGATAATGTGTATTACAATGGTTATGTTGAGTTAACATTGCATGAAAATATGGATATTTTGAAAATTGTGGTTGTGCATCATTCTTTGTATCCTATTGGTGATGTGGTTCCTTCTAATGCCCATAATACAGCTGCCCCTCCATTATCTGTTGGTTTACCTTTTGCTTTTTCTTATTATGAAAATAGAGAAGGTATTAATAATGTTATGGGTTGCAATACAACTACTATTATTCTATAGTGAATCATATACATCTAACCTTACTTTAACTCCTAGTACAAATGTTGTTGCAGTTGATAATGTTATAGTTAATGATTCATTTTTAAATTTTGCTTCTAATTTCTCTGACAACCAATTTACTTATATGCTTGTTTTGGAGCCTGGGAGACTTTAAGGAATGAGGTTTCTATTGTGGCTGATGAGCCTTAGGGGAGTTTTTTCCCTCTTGTCCCTGAGAATGGTGCTACTCTTCTTAATTTTGGCTTGGATGTTTCTGATATGGTTCATGTTATTAATTTGCCTATCTCACCTATTTCTAAAGATGCGGCTTTTGATGGAGGTGACGGGAAAGTGCAATTGGTTGATCCAATTGATCATTTTGATTGGATGCCATTTGTAATTCTAATAAAAACTACGATTCTGGGGGTCACCTTTTTGCTGGAAGAAAGTGATTTAAATGTGGTCCAGGTGATTAATAAGTGCTTCTTCGTAGACTCTAGCAAGAAAGGCAAGAAAAATAAATGTAAAAGTTTCAATTTCATGTATTTTAGTGGTAGATCCAATGCCAAATAGTTTTTGGGCTAGGGCTATTTCTTTAGATTGTGGCTTTCCTCTTTTTTTTTTTTTGTGGCTAGTTTCTATGTTTTTTGGATTTTTGGTTGTTTTTATTGCTTTGTGGTTGGTTGTGTATCTATTGCCTTTAGTCTTGAGGCCACTACTTTTATTGGTATATGGATTCTTCTATTTTAGGTTATTCATGGTTAGGTGTTTGGTGAGTTTCTTCTATTGTTGTTTGCGTCGCTCTTTTGGTGGTTCCTCTGTCCTGCCTTTTGGGGGTGTCTTTATGTTTGGTGTGATATTGGTCTTATTTTCTATATTTGGAGGCTATTAATTTTTGCATATCTCAAGGGTGCTCGTGTTTGGAGCTTTGGAACCTGATGTTGTTCATTTTGGAGGCAGCTTCCCTTCTGATGGTTAGCCCCGTCTCGGTGGATGCTGGCTTCATCTCCCTATCGACTTCTTGGCTATTTTTCTTGTTTTTATTTTGATTATTGTATTAGATATGATCATATGCTCATTAGGTTTTGCATCAAATGATGTATTTTTAAAGAGCTCTTAATCCTTTTAGGACTTGTATCCTTTTTATTAATTAAAGTGTAGGCCCCTTTAGGAGTTTTATCTTTTAAAAAATTATAAAGATAGATGAGAAAGGTTGAGGTATAGAGCTTTTTTTACTTTTTAACGGAAATGGAGAAAGGCATCCCTAAAAAGAAAGGGAATGATGAAATAGAGAGAGGAGTTATAAATCACCAATAATTTAAATGGTTTGGTATTCTAGCCTATATTCATAAGAGAGAGAGAGAGAGAGAGAGAGAGAGAGAGAGAGAGAGAGAGATTTAACTTTGCAAGATCAGTTGTAGTGGTACATATGCTAACCATACTATATGGTAGCCATTAGACAACTAATTAGAAACTACACATCTTAAAATGTGACAAGGATGCTTCGTAGAGAGCCATCATAGTGACCAAAGAAATCTCCTTATCTATAATATGTAAAGGAAGCAATCCACATGGTGGTCATTGAATGATTGAGGAGGATGGTGATATGGCCGGATAAGTCATTATAAGAACAAAATCAGCTCCTATGAGCTTTAGGAAGAGATTCGGGTTAAACACTTGGCATTAGGCTGCTCATCCCAAGTCTTCTCATGTGCCTTAATGTCCCGAAATTGCTCGCTAAAATGCTCGTTACAAAAAAATGATGAATGCTACTTATGGTCTCAAATATGGATGGCGACAAAATCACTTAAAAAGTTAGATGTAAGTCAATATATCAAAACACTTAGGGCATCTCCCACCGAAAAACTCACTTTCCACTCCAAAAAGTGACGGTGATCGAAGCACAATCAAAACAGGAACAATCACTTTTCAGATTTGGACTTTGAATTCGGAGATGATGATGATTTTGGTGATCGCAGCACTGCCACTACAAGAAATTGAAGTCAAATCTCTTGATAGGCCAGGACAGCATTTCCATGGGTATCTGAATCCTGCTCTTCAATTTCTTTCTTGTGATTGTTTTGGAACTTCTCCAATGTTTTCATTTTGGTTTAATCTTTTCTGCATTTTCGTAAAAGTGCCATCTTTCAGCTTTTCTTACTTGTTTAGGACACAATCAAAAAAAAGAATTCATGTAACTGACCTCACACGTAGTAGGATAAAGGCTTGATATTATTGTTCGTTTTGATAGATCCCATTTTAGACTTGTTATTGATTTAGACTTCGTTTGGAACAGTTTTTGTACTGCTTCTTGAAGCAGCTTTCTAGTACAAAAAATTAAATTTTTTGATTAGAAAGCTGCTTCAAAAAGCAATAAAAAAGCCGTCGCAAACGAAACCTTAATGGATATGAGGATTTTTCCCTCTTCGCAAATTTTAAATCCCAAAACAAATAGTCAAACATTGTACGAGGATTGAACAAGATTTAACAGTTACAAAATAAAAAAACTTACATATTTTAATCCTCTCAAAATTTCTCAAGTCTGGATTTACATAACTTACTAAATCCTACTTGTGCCTAAAAAGCCCTATATATTGGTCATAGGACCTTACCATATGAGAAATCACTAGGCATTGTTGCCTTACAAGTTACCAACAAATAAATTTTTTTACTGGGGAACTTTGTAGTCCTTAAGCAAACCCCTTTGAAGCAAAAATGAAAAGAACAGCAAAATTAAATTATTGTTGAATTTTGTAGTCCTTAAGCAAATCCCTTTGAAGCACAAATTCAATTTACCTTGCCTTACTTCCTACTGAATCAATTTTCAATATATCATTGGTAATTTTTTGAGATAGTTAAAATACGATTCCTGCTCAAGCTATGGCTTGTTGGTTGATGAAACTCATTCCTCCCACGAAAGTCACACTCGAGTCGCTCAAACTGCCCGAAATAATAATAATAATACAATTCAATTAGCTAAATTTCACACTTCGAACCGCATATATATGAAAAAGCTGTTTGTATCCTCTTCTATATATAGTATAATGTTGTTTTATTTGTTTTGAAAGTCTTCTATGTAAATAAATAAAACTAACAAGTATGTACCTTTATTTATGGATCTCCTTCTACAAGAAGATCTCTCCTTATTTTGTAGTCTTATCTTCTATATTTCCTGAACTGGAAAACAGTTAAAGAAGCAGAAATCTTAAAATATAAATGCAGGTCAATACATAAAAGCCAAGCATAGTTTTATTTTCTGGTTCAAAAGAAAAAAGCATGATGGCAAGGAGTTTAGTACGGGAACAGGCAACAGCAAAGCCGATAGAGTTGAGCACGATGAAGCATTTCTAAAGTTTTGATGGAATCAGACTGCAAAATCATTCAGCAAGGTGTCATAAATACTATTGAGAAATCACATATGGTTTCTAGGTAGAGCAGTTGATAGGAAACACTCGTAGATCTCAAGTATTTCCTATCAATCTTCATAAAACAACGAGAATTCTCCATCAAAATCCGCACAAAAACAGTAGATAATTTGTATTATTTGATGAAATAGAAAGGAAAATTGCAGGATACAGTTGATCCTATAAGAATTTCTTCTCTGTTAGCGCCTGGGCCGGTCCCGTCGGACTGGCTGGATCAATCTAACAGCAGTTTGCATGTAATTCATTTATTATTTCCCACTCATTCTGAAAATAAATACTATGAGATTTTGTCTACATTTTCCAGTAAAATTTTAAAATTACTATAACTGTTATATTTTACAGAGAAGCATCAAATTATAAGAAGTTTAATGCAAATAACCTTTGTGTTAATTCTTTTATTTATTTTTGTTTTAAATTTTTGGTTAGCTTGTGGCAAGGGGAAGTCATGCTCATTTGGTGGAGCTCAGTTGTCAAGCAATAATCAATCCTCTGATGGGGACTGGTTACTTGCTGCCAACTCTACCTTCTTTCAAGCCAAATTAAGTACACAAAATCGTGCCAAGCAGTTTCTGGTGACTCAAACCGAGTTGAGTGAATCAACCCTTAATTTATAATAGAACGTGGTTACTTAGATGGCCTTAAGAGTATTTATATCATTAATGAAGAGTAGTCTCAGCTGAAGATAATTTAATTACTCCGCACCTTCCAGATGACCGTTGGATGGTAACCTTCAATCCTCCTACCTCCTTTCTCCCTCTTCAGCCACCAAACTCTTTGCTTCAGAGCAGAGAAACTACAATAGAAGAAAAACAAAAAGAAAAAGAGAGAAGTAAAAAATTGGAGAATGATGAAATTATGATTAGGAGTAGCCAACAAACCTGTGGGTGAGCCATCATCCATAGACGAAGCTTCTTCTTCACATTTATCTCTTTAAAACCTCAGAGAATCATTGAAACTTCCATTTTTATTTCACTGCTGAATCTTCTGCGCTGCCATTAATGGAGCTGAACAGTTCTTCCTGCAATGCTGAAGAAATTTCTACAAAAAGATGCCGAACCTGTTTGCATTTCCAACTAAGATGGATGATCTTTATCTTCTTGTTTGCTTTCCTGTTTTCTTCTGCAGGTTGCTTCTTTAATCATAAGATGATAAATTATATTGTGTTTTTATGTTTGTTTTTAGTTATTTTGTCTCCGATTTTTTAATTGAATTTTGCTTTGAATTAGCGGCTTATGATCCATTGGACCCTACCGGTAATATTACAATCAAGTGGGATGTAATCTCATGGACTGCTGATGGCTATGTGGTAAGATATCTTCATTGAATTTTTATTTCTTCCTGTAGTTTATGTTCTATTTTTCTTTAGAGCAAATTATTAACAAATGGGAACAATTACAGGCACATTTGTTGCTCAAATATATTGAAATTGTTTTACAATCATACCAACATACAGAAATATTTCACTTATTTTGATGAACAAATCTTCTTGAAATTTCATGAAATTTGATATTTTACTACTTTTTAGCATGTTGATTTTGATAAATAAGATGAATTAATATTTCATGACAAAGTACCTCCATTCAAATTGAAAAGTGGTGATCTAACCTTACATAGCAGAACATTCATCATCAATTCTAATTCCAAAATTTGTCATAAGGCTGTGGTGACGATGAACAATTTCCAAATGTATCGGCACATAATGAGCCCAGGCTGGACCTTAGGATGGTCATGGGCAAAGAAAGAGGTCATATGGTCTATGGTTGGTGCTCAAACAACAGAACAAGGAGATTGCTCCAAGTTCAAAGGAAACATTCCTCACTGCTGTAAAAAGACTCCTACAGTGGTTGATTTGCTCCCTGGAGTGCCATATAACCAGCAGATTGCAAACTGCTGCAAGGGAGGGGTTATTGCAGCATGGGGTCAGGATCCATCAGCATCAGTTGGAGCCTTCCAAGTCAGTGTTGGACTTGCTGGCACGACAAACAAGACGGTGAAGCTACCGACGAACTTTACATTGTTGGGACCTGGCCCGGGATACACTTGCGGCCCTGCAAAGGTCGTGCCATCCACCACTTTCCTTACTCCTGACCTCCGACGAAAAACCCAAGCACTCAGTAAGTTAAATAAAGATCTGTTACAATTTAATGAAGTTGAACTCCTAAACATTCAGATATTTGTTAGTGTGACGCCTTAAGTTTCTTCATCAAGTGTGTTCATATTGGAGCACTTCTGATGGATGACCTTTAAGGTTGCAAGTGAACTAATAGACTATAAACAACTCAACATGGCTTCTTAAGGCTCGTTTATGTTCATTTATTTCGAAAGGTGAACAAGCTTAAATGGAATTATTAAAACTCAATAAAAAAATGAACAAGCCTAAACAAAAATCCACTTATTTGTTTATATTTATGAATATGCTCATTTATTGTTCAACAAATAGCTCACTTAGAGCCCAACAAAATAATTGTTTAATAATGATTTAATTACATTTTTTATGACTTAAGCTTCATTTGGGATGGCTTTCTTATTGCTTCTTAAAACAGCTTTCTTAAGAAAGCCAACCCAAACGAAGCCTTAGTTTGTACTCTTATATTAATCTTTTTAATATCCTTTAAGGTTTTAATCTTAAAAATTTTATATATTACTAGAAATATGCAAAATGGTGAAAATATCAAGCAAAAAACAAAATAAACAGCTATATGGATTGATTCAAATTTTTTTTTTAAACTCCCATTTGAAATTCACAAAGCATTAGAAATAATATTGAATGCTTTATATATTATTTTGATGAAAATTATTGATACATATATATTTAGTAATAAAACAATATATTTAAATCATTAACATCATACATATAATTAGTTTTGCTTATATATAGTTAGATAGACTTTATACATATATTTATGTTTGATTAAAATTAGATTATAGCCTGAACTCATTAAATAAAAAAATAAATGAATAAATCTTGAAAAATATTTTAGAACTCAGTTAATCTTTAAGCTTGGCTCAAACTCAATAAGGTAGATGCACAAGCTTAAAAAAGATAATATTCAACTTAGCTCGGTTCATTTATAATCCTAAAGAACAATCTACGAAGTTGCATCACTAGGACAAAATTATGAGGCTTGTGAAAGCAAAACAAAAACTATCTTAATCAAGATTTTGAATTGTGATAGCTTTAACTCGAAGACTATTTTCACATATAATTTTAATTTGCCAGAGAAGGATAGTTCTAGTATTTTGTCTTCTATCTTAATCAAGAGATTGCTGTGTGATTGTGCAGTGACCTGGAATGTAACTTGCACCTACTCACAATTCCTAGCATCTAAGAACCCAAGCTGCTGTGTTTCACTATCATCCTTCTACAACGATACAATCACTCCTTGCCCGAAGTGTGCATGTGGCTGCAAGAACAAAAACTGCATCAAGTATGTCAGCCTCAATCCTAACTATTTATTCCAAATGACTTCAAATATACTTATATACATATATGAAATATGACAAATGACATATCTCTGGTATTGCAGAAGCGACTCGAAGCTTCTAAGTGTGGCAGGAGTCAATACTCCAAGGAAGGACAATACGCCATTGCTCCAGTGCACAACTCATATGTGCCCAATCCGTGTGCACTGGCATGTGAAACTCAATTATAAGGATTATTGGCGTGTGAAGATTGCTATCACAAACTTCAACTATCGCCTAAATTACACACAGTGGACACTTGTTGCGCAGCACCCCAATCTCAACAATGTCACCGAGGTGTTCAGCTTTGATTACAAGCCTTTAGTACCCTACCAATCCATAAGTAAGTTCATCATAACTCCATAAGACATAAATCACACTTAAGCTCCTTACATTAACAAGTATATCATGCTTTGGTACAAACCAAATGACCCTTTATCGCCTTTTTTTCTGCGCACCAGGTGCTAAGAACTAACCAAAAAAATATGAAAGAGAAGTCACAAGAAGATCAAAGAAAGAAGATTTTATGTGTTACCGTTATTAATCCTTCTATATTCACGTTCAAATGAAATTCAATATATTGCTCAGTGTAGGATTGGTGGCATAAGAGAAATGAGTTAGCTGCAATGATTCGGCTCCATAAACCATCAACAAAATAATCAAGCATTATTCATGACAATTGTTACTAAAATAAAATTCTTAACATTATGCAACCTTCAAAATTTGATAACAGTTCATTGCAAACTAATGGTTATTGACTCTTCAAGTGCAAATAAAGAATTAGTTTGAAAAATTTTGGACTATATCTGAACAAATTCCTTGAAAACGTCTATAAAGATGACCACATAAGCCTGCAGTGGTAGATTACTTTGCATTGAATAACACTTGAAGTTAACCTTAGCCTTCAGAGGAATACAGAAAAACAATGAGAAGATCACAGCTCTCAATCCCCTTTTCCAATGGGGGTTCTTTATTCTTGTTTGTAAAATGAATGCGCACACACACCTTGAGAAAGATACAGATAGGCTATTAATAGCCAAGTACAGGACAGCTCACTAATTACAAGAAGACTAAAAAAAAGGACTCGTCTAAAACCGAAGAAAAGACTAAACAGAGAAAACATAAGAAATATCTATAAGCAATACAGTGATCATATATTAGCATAAGACATCTCATGAGCAATGAATCTATGTTCCTAATCACAATCATTGGATGCAGATGACACGGGTATGTTCTATGGCATGAAGTACTTCAATGACCTGCTAATGGAAGCAGGACCTGCTGGGAATGTGCAGTCAGAGGTACTCCTCGAGAAGAATCAAGACACTTTCACCCTCAAGAAAGGTTGGGCGTTCCCTAGAAAGGTGTACTTTAATGGTGATGAATGCATGCTACCCTCTCCAGACACATATCCTCATTTGCCTAACTCTGCTCCTGTAAGCAGTACAGTCATTACATCTATTATAACTGCTTCAGTTATCTACTTGATTATCATGGTAATCACCTAAAATGTTCAGGTTTAGAATGTTGATGAAATTTTTCGACAGTGTAGATAAATTGAATTTGTTGGTATTTAATAGTTTATGCCTGAAAAGGAAGGTGAGAATGAAAGGAAATCTGGGCAGTATATATTTTGTATTTTCTTCCATACAACGGGTTGTACGTTTTTCATTTCTTTTTTAATAGAAAAAGGAATTGTCTGAGCTCAAATTTTACTGATTGCAACAAACATTGAAAGTCATTTAAAGTTTTTTTTTTCCCCCTTTTTTAAGTATAATGAACTTAATCATTTGCTTGTTATGATCTACATGTCTTTGCTACTGTACTTGGAGCATCTGTCTCATAGTAGCATAGAGATGAATAATTAGTCTTCCCATCTCTGGGGGTGATCAATAGGTTTGGCATTCATATAACAAAAGTGAATGAGGTACAGAATAACATGGAAAGCATAATTTTCCCTTATTACATAGACTTATGCAGCTTATTCTACCGCAATAAGTAAAACAGATAAAAACATGCTAGAACTGCAATGGGACAGGTGAAAAAATTTGAATTACAAAAACTTCTTTGAAATTAATGAGGTAGTGATTCCGCTTTGATATACTGCTTGTGATTGGAGCATAATTGTTCGATATAGGACACGACAAACCTGACCCTGCTTCCCATGCTAGAACTGAAGTTCTCTGACCTTTTGGAGAAGCCAATCCCACTTTTCAAACCTTTTTTTACTAATTATTAAGATGAGGACGTATTTGAATAAGGCTCCCAGTACTGTGGAACGTAGAACATTGTTGCATGCTATAAAGTTGAAACAATCAAATCTTTAAACAAGCTCACAGTTTGCACTTTAGTAGAGATAACCCAGCAAGTAAGCTAAAACTGCACAGAAGACCATAAGTGGAGGAATCAACGAGGCAATTAGGCTTGGGCTAGCATTTGGCAGCCATGGATATGCATCTGGAGGTGGCATAACGCAGTTATCACCATTGAAGTATATGCGCCGAGGGAAAGCCCATCCTTTCTCAAATGTGAAAGTCGACATATCCTTGCGGAATAGTATTTCTGACTGCACATTTCCAAGAGGACCAGCTTCCATAAGCAGGTCATTGTAGTACTTAACTCCCCAAAGCATTGCAGTATCATCTGAGGAGAAAATAGAAACTTATGTCACAAGAAAAACAGATAGAGCATTTCATTGCATCTCAAAATTTGAAACTAGTATAACAAAAGTACTGGGTGAGACTGGGGGATCTAGATTCGAAGAGTGGAAAAGGAAGATTGAACTCACTTATGGTTGCTGAATATGGAGTCAAGGACTTGTAATTGAAGCTAAATATTTGGGTGACATTGTCAAGATTAGGGTGCTGAACAACAAGATTCCACTGCGTATAATTCATCCGATAGTTGAAATTTGTTATTGAGATCTTAATCCTCCAGTACTCTTTGTAGTTGAGTTTTACATGCCAATGGACTCTTATAGGGCACATATGAGATGTGCATTGTACCAAAGGTGTGAAGCTCTTTTTGCCCGGTCCATTCACAACAGAAGCCAAGTAAGGTGAATCCCCTCTGCCAAACAAAAAGAAAGTTACATATCAATAGGTAGACAGAAATAAACAAGTCACTGGAAGTAAAACTTTCAAATTACAGAACTCACTCCACGCAGCTTCCAGGTTGAGTTATGTTATTTTGGCAGCCACAGGCACAAGTCGGGCAGTCGACTATAGTTTCATTGTAGAAAGATGAAAGGGAGACGCAGCATGTAGGAGTCTTCTGAGAGAGGAATTGTGAGTATGTGCATGTAACGTTCCATGTCACTGCAATATAAATGGAGCATATCAGATAAAAATGTTTAATGTGAACGCCTGAGCAGAAAAAGGAAAACGTCCCTGAATTACAGACTAGAGAAAGCGAAAAACTAACATTGGTAATCATGAAGCCTCCATGAAAAGCTATCTTTTCTAAATAAATTGCAAATCAATCACCCTACTTACAGTACCCTATCCTTCAAACATAGGTAATCTGACACCAAATACTTGGGCTAATGGTGAAATCTACTTGAAATCAAAGGAAAACAAAAGCATGTGACATCAAACTTACTGAGAGCTTGGGTTGTTCTCCTTCCATCTTGTGTGATAAATTTAGTAGGTTTCACAATAGTTGCTTGCCCACAAGTATACCCAGGACCTGGCGCATTAAGTGTGAAGTTTTTCGGAACACGAACGGTTTTATTAGTAGTTCCAGCGACACCCACGCTGACCTGAAAAGCACTTGCTGCATTGGAAGGATCTTGAACCCAAGAATTAATGACTCCACCTTTGCAGCAATTTGCAATCTGCATATTATAAGGAGTTCCAGGAAGTAGATCTACCACTGTGGGATCCCTCTTACAACAATGGGGAATGTTGCCTTTAAATTTTGAGCAATCTCCTTGCTCTGTGGTTTGTGCCCCGACCATGGACCAGATCACCTCTTTCTTTGCCCATTTCCATCCTAAGGTCCATCCTGGTGCTTGTATATGACGATATTGTTGAAAATTGTACATGGTTACAACAGCCTAAAAGCATTTAGAATACAAAATTTTGATCAAAACGAATTGATATATAATATATCACTACGTTCATAGATTTTAGCATTGTCTACTTACAACATAGCCATCTGGAGTCCACTGCATGATGTCCCATTTGATAGTTATATTTCCATTTGGATCAAGTGAATCATAAGCTTCTATAAAACCAGAAAAAAAGGAGTATTCAGATCAAATTAACCAATCATTTTCTAAGATTCAAACAGAATTAACAAAATTTAACCTAGGTTTTCATACTGTCAATTCCGGGAGTTATAAATTTCTTTCTTTTCAAATTCAACACTATAAATATCGGCAGGAAGAAGAAATGCCAATCAAAGACCTATAATCTCTTATTCGAAACGGAAGAAAAGACATATTATAGTGCTAATAAGTCGAGATCAGATACAATTGAATGAAGCCATCACGCAACTTCTGAAAACCCTGTGATCTATAAATGCCAAACAGTGGAGACAAAAACAACTACAATCCTAGCATCTAAAACTATAGAAACTCAACCAAGCAAAGCTGGTCACCAATTTCCAGGAATTCCATTTCACCATCTTAGAGCAAAACTTAAGCATTTGATCTGAACCACTAACTAAGAAGGAAGAGTGAGCTCGATAGCTTAGAACTGACCTGTCGAGCTTATACTGGAAAAGAAAAGAAGGAAGAAGAGGAGAATAGTCCAAGATGTGATCTTTAGTTCGGATCTAAGACTCCCCGTCTCCATTGCTCGCAGAGTCGGCGGCGTTAGATCTGCAGCTTCTTGCTGCTGGAAGAAAGAGGCAAGAGAGACGCGAGACTGCCCCATAACTTGCTGTTTATATAATAATATTATTATTTTTATTTTTATTTTCCTTTTTTTAACTTTAGCGCCTCATATATCTCAACTTGAGCAAAGAATCATTTTTTTAATTTACTTTTACAATTATTTTATTTATACGTGTATATCTAAATTTTATAATTAAATATTTAATATACTTAAACTTTAAATACAAATAATAATACCATTTATCTTTAACTTTTATCAAAAAATTTCATTTGCATGTTTATGGGTCTTATCTATTTTCACTAGTTCTTCATCATTTTTTCTATGAGATTCAAACTCCATTTAGCTCTATCAATATATTTTCTCGTTGTTCCTCATCACTAAGATCTCATCACGGCTTCCTTATATCTTTTTCGTGTCTTACATAACACTTCTTCATCGTTGAGAGTGGGGATTCAGTCGCCAGCGAGCTCTTACAAAATTTTAATAAAACTCTTATTACACTTATAAAACCCGTATTGGAGGAGAATGAGGGGAGATCATAATAAATAGTAAGGAAGAGAAAAGGAAAAGATAAAAGGAGAGAATTGGAAGAAGAGAAAGGAGATTCCTTCATGGGCCTAAAGAGCTCAAGTTGATGGAGCATACTTCAAACTTTAAACAGATGCACATTTATAGTTGAAAATCATCTCCAAAATATTCATAAACTTTTAATTTATCTCCTAATATATAACTTTACTCATAATAGAGAATCCTCTTTTTCTTTTATTCTTCAGATCTCGTGCGTAACATATATAAATGTTCAATGAATAGTGAAAATATCTCATTCTCACTATAATTTTCATCAATATTGCTTGTCAAACCCCCTACTACCTTCAAGTCAAGCAATGTTGGGAAGAAATATGTGAATATATTATAATGCAAATTATATCAAGATGAACTTCAAAGCTATATAATTTATGTTGAGATTAGTGCAATTCCGGATATTGGTTATGCTTTTTTGTTATGATGAGAACTAGTTTTTTTATATAATTTGATATGCAAAGTGTGATAATTCTAAGAAGGTTGTTATTCATTATTGATATGCCATCAAAAATCAACTTGATTGGATACAAATTTTGATGCATATTTGAATTGAAACTTTCATAATCAAATTCAAGACCATTTGAACTCTGATTTCAGCAAAGTTATAAGTGACATGAGTATCTCAACGAGATGAACTCAACGACATCAAAAGTGTCCGAATCGAAATTCAAATGAGCTCAGATAAATCACTTGAAATAAAATAGAAAACTTTGGCATATTAATTGAAAGATCAAATGAATTCCAAACCTTACATATTTATAGTCAAATTGAGCATTTCAATGGCACAAATCCTACAAGTTCAAAATCGCTTAATTACAACATCATTAAAGCACTTAAATATTGAAAAATAGATTATGATTGATAGCATTAATATAGGTCTTCGGATGGAATATTATGTGTTTTCGTCATATTTATTGGACATGTCACTCTAAAAAATATTTAAATAGACTCTCACTTTCTATACAAAGGGGGACTTGGAGCTAGTACTCTTAAAACTCAATAGAGTAAAGAGGCTTGAATAAACCTACAGCTCCACTAAAGCACCATTTTTTGGCCACTAGACCATCAAATGGCAGCTATTGTTGTCTTTCAATAACTATCGCTCGACTACGATTTCTCAACTACAGTTACCCTTCTACAGTCCTCCAACCACCATCTCTGATTATGGTACTCTAACAACATTATTCAAGTATGATCCTCTTACCCACATTATTCAATTATGATCATTCGATCATTTTTGCTTGACTATAGTCCTCTAACTATCATAACCCAACAATAGATGTTCAACATCCACCATCTGTCATGATCCTTTGACCACCTTTACCCAATTGCAGTCTTTTGACCAATATCGTCCTCCTATAAATCACTCGACAACAGTCCTCAAACCTCCATTGTCTAAATACAGTCCTTCGACCATCATCGTCTGAATATTATCATCTGACATCATTGACCTACTACGGACCACTGCACTGAAACATAATCCTTTAACCCCCATTAATCGACTATAATTCTCTAATCATTGTCCCATAGCTACACCAATGCTCGCTAACTTTGTCGCTTGTCATTGCCAACAATATCAATATATGCTATCTTTGACACAAACTCTGACTTCGAACATCAATATTATTATTTATACTGAATTTCTTGGTATCTGGTCTCCACTCCTTAAAAGAGTACAATTAAACAAACACGCCAATGACCTCTTATTTCAAAAAAATTATAATATTAACAACACATTTCAACAAATTATTTAATTTTTTTTATATATAGTTACAGCCCTCCTAAATAAATCCTAAATCAAGCTCAATTTAAATCTAAGGCTTCATTTAGGACGTTTTTTTATTGTTTTTTAAAGCATTTTTTTAATTAAAAAATTTTTAATTTTTATAATAAAAAGTTATTTTTGAAAATAGTAAAAAAGTCGTCACAAATGAAACCTAAATATGGAGAAATTATTACGTGCGGTCATCGGATCGTTCGAAAGCGAATCAAGATATGTCACAATATCCGATACACAGCAGTACACAGCTACGGTACACATCAAAATAGTAATATGACACGTTCTGATTCATCTTTGAATAATATTATATTTGAAATTATAATTGTCATCTACATGTATATTTTTATAATATTAATTTTTTAATTTTACTTTTAAAAATTGTTTTAAAAAACAGTAAAAATAATCATCCCAAACAAAAGTTATTAAGACGGTCTTTTACTGCTTCAGAAATTAAATTTTTAGTACAAAATTAAAAAATTTATACTAGAAATTAGCTTTAATAAGTAGTAAGAAAGTCATTCCAAACGAAATTTAAATGTCAAATTTTAGTTATATATATTTCAATTTGTGACAAAAAAGTAATATTTTTACTTACATTTTTTTATATTTAAATCAGAATTTTTTGAAAAAGTATTATCAATAGCATGATTAAAAATTTCAGTTATAATTTAATTAAAATATTGCTAAATAATTCATCTTTAATCACAAAATACTTTTAGCAGTACTATCAACATTTAATTTCCTTAAAAAATTATTAATAAAAATTAAAAAATATATGACTTTTACTCCTTTTTTTTTAAATCTGATCAATAACCAAATTTTTTAGTCACATTTTTTTTTAAAATATGATTATAATTTGAATTTATTTTAGATTTACACATTGCTTCCTATTGCAGCTTATTCTACAACCTTACAATTTTGGACCATTAGATCAGAGGTTTTAGAGGTTTTTTAATTGTAATAATAATTAATAATGAGGCAATCCTAAACTATTTCAAATACAAATATTATTTATTTAATGAATCAATTGTAATTGACAAATATGTTCATTCCACAAGGACCACAAATATTTTTTTTATATCACTAAGGAGAAAATTTTGATCAAATTTTAGTGCTAAGACAAATTGTTTAATGATCTAATTTTGTCTTAATAAGACTTGTTTAGAGCTTTAAAGTGGATATGAAGCATGAGGGATAGGCGGGCCCTACTCCATAGTCAATATCCCCTTCAAATTCATGTTGGGGGTAAATCTACCAAATTATATTAACTATGATTATATCTTATTAGTTAAATTAAACTCTCATCCACACCCTTTCTATTCACTCATCTCCCTCCCACCTTTTACGTTTCACAAAAAATCCACCTAAATCTTCGTCTCTCTCATAAACATTAGTTCAAAATCTCATCTTCCCCTTAAAAATCACTAATGTCATTTCCCTTGGAACAATTCCGTTCTCTTTTATCCTTACTTCCACTACCTCCTCCTTATCATTCCTTCTCCTCTTTGCTAAGACTGCTCTTTTCTATTTTAGCGGTTGCTCTTGCATCTCTGGAACTAGAGACACTATAATATATGGCGCAACTCCATACTTCACCGTGTTATTCCTCTCCCACCATCTTATTGTTTTCTTAATTGGCTACTAACCCTACATGCATGCATCCTAGGATGCACACCCTCTTATACTAGATAAAATTGATTTGATTTAGCTGGTTTTTTAGCTAAATATGTTCTGATTTGTATGATTTTGATCCCAATGAATTATTCTACATTGTTTAGACTATAAATTTGTCAAAACTGAGCTTTTCACACAACTTAACTTACTTATCATCTAATATTCCATGTATCAATATTTGCTACTATAATTTTGATGACGCTTGTTCCTTTAATTGAATGAAGCAAGTATAGCACAATTGCACACCTATTATTCTAAGGCAAGGAGTAATTATATAAGGAATCTTTTTAATGCCCTATTTTTTAAAAATATATTGTCAGAAGGTTTATTGCAAAACATTTATGTTTCTAATTTTAATTTCATTCAAATACAATTTTGATTGTAAGTCAACTATAATTAATTTGCCTTTTTTTGTTTTTAGTGTCTTGATTAAATTATGATTCCCTTCATACACAACTAAACATATAAATGAAGCATTTTATATTCTATGCTTGTAGAAGTATAGTAATGCTAATATGGTTATGTTTCTCATTGGTATATTGGAAATATTTCAAACCTTTTTTTGTTTTTAGTGTCTTGTATTGTTTTTGTCAAGATCATAGGAGTCTTTGTAAATTGATTAATTAAGTGATAATTTGTTTATTGTTGCTTTCACGTAAAGTAATGGCAGGCATGTTTGGCTTTTGTTAGAACTCTTTGGAACAACTTATTTACGAAAGAATTTAGTTTTGGCACCCCTCTATTTTGAAAAATGTTAAAATTGTGAGGCTCAACTTGGCATATACAAGCTAGCTAGGTCAAAGTAGAAAATAGAAAATACCTTACATAGCATGACCTAAGACATTGCAACTAATTATAACCCTATAAATTTGACTCAAAGATCACTAAAAAATAAAATTGACTTTTAACTTGAATGAAGCTCAAATCAAAGTTAATGAGCTAACTAATAAGTTGAATTCAACTAAGATTATGCTGAATTGAGGTTGTATCAAGCTGGGCTAGCTCGATGTGAATGAGATCAATTTATAGACCTTATATAAACTCAAAATTTTTAAAACAAAAGAGATCATTAGTAAAAAAAAAAGTATTTTAGGATATGGATTTCTAGGAAGTTATCTTTCTCTTCTAATTTACAAATATCCTTTCTATTTAACTTAATTAGAATGAAGATTGTTTCTCTTTTTTTAATGATAATTAATATGAATTTTATATGTTTTGATGATGATCAATTTGATGGATGATCAAAATCAGGTTGATGAACATCTGTAATGGAGAATGCTCTACTAAATCAATAAGAAATTATTAGTTGTAGATGACAAATATATATTTTTTTCATGCATGTGTAACACGAGAGGACACAGATTTGTATTCTCTATGTATTTTGTATGCAAATATGTATTAATTATGTACTCATTGTGTACTCCATTTTATGCAATATATGATTATGTACTCCGATACTCCACACATAATAGTTACATAAGTCATTTGCATTTAATAATTTCTCTAAATTAATAATGTTATAGTGAAGCCAGAAATCTAAAATTTTTGCCAATCAAACTAGCAACCACCCATATATAATTACTAAACCTTCTTTTTTTCTCTTTTAATATAATATGTACTATTTTCTGTTTCTGTTCAATCTTCATAATCTCATCCATATTTTCTCATTCAAAGTTCAAACTCTTAAATCCTACAAAAAAGAATTTTTAGCCCTAAACAAGAAAATATTCAATATTAACAACTTGTTCATAAATATCTTTGTAATAAAATTTAAAATATAATATGTCTTGATATTTAGTGCAAAAATATGAATCCAACAAATTGTTAGCATGTGTTTTGTGCATGCTTTTATGGCCATGGCTACTATCATTAAGCAATATTCTTTTAAAATTAAATGAAAAACTAATTTAAGAAAAAAAAAATTCGAAGTTTTTGGATTTATTTTAAGATGGGTGCATATCAGGATTCAGGAGTGTCAAAATCTGATCCGACCGAAACCCAACCTGAAAAATTCTTGGTTCGGATCAACCCATTTTCTATATGGGTAGGGTTCAGGTTCGAGTTTCCGACCCGTTTGTAAAATAGGGTCTGTTCAGATTGACTCGGAAACCCAAAACCTGGCATGTTTTTGACCCGTCTAAACCAAACTAATTATCCATTACTCTCGTCGCCATCACATTAGCCATCACTCAGGCCAACTGTTCGTGCGACTCAATCCAAACGTCAGTCATCATGCCAATATCCATCAGTCGTCAGTCGTCACTACTCACTCGAGGTCAGACCAATCGTCCGCTGCCTAATGCCAGATGCCAGCCCCTCGGCCCTCCCATAGACCACAATCTACTCTTCACCACATGGCCTGCCTCCTCTTTGCCACCGGGAGCTCGTCTGCCTCCGTGCCTTGCAAAATATAGCCCCACCCGTAGACTGCAGTCCGCCGTCTGAGCTCTCCCTGACGGTCTGACCGACAGCTTCCTGCCTTCCCAGACATACACACAACATCGTAGCCCTCATGACTCAACGTGTCACACTCATTTTTGAATACAAACGGGTTCTCGGGTCGGGTCGGGTCAACCCGGTAACCCGCGCGGGTCAGGTTCGGGTTGAAAATCTTGACCTGTTTAAGCTAAATAGGTCAAATTCGAGTCAACCCGTTTAGGCCCGGGTCAACCCGGTTGGACCCGAATCCGACACGTTGACCCGAATTGACACCCCTAGTGCATATATTGGGCACGTCTCAAAACAAATCTAATAATGTTTAGACCTACCCTAATAAACATTCTCCCAAGATATCCTAAGCTAATTATTTAGTTTCCAAGGCAATATCTGAAATGTACAATTTATTATGGCTTTGTTTGGGACAGATTTTGGCCTCTACTTTTTCATTGCTTTCAAAAAAAAAAAATTGCACTTGAAAGTTACTGTGTAAAGCTATAAAAACATTGTCCCAAACGAAACTTATATTTATACAAATCTTGAGAAAAAATAATCAATTTAGATCACCAGTGCACTGGATCCCATCAGAATTCTGCAATTAAGCATGCTTGGGCGAGAGTAGTACTCGGATGGATGACCTCCTAAGAAGTCCTCATGTTGCGCGCACCCTTTTAATAATAATAATAATCATCATCAATTTAGATATACAATCATTCTATTGTAATTAAAAAAATATTATTATTTTTAAATAGATTTTTTTCTTTTAATAATATATTTGTATTTGATTAAGCTTTGTTTTAGTTATATTTTGAGTTTTATTTTTCAACATATTTTTAATTAATTAGAAGCAACTATTATATGGTTTCTATGTAATTTGCATAATCCACCAAACATCTTGTCCTCATATGCAGTAGTAAAATATAAGGTACTTTAACTTTAATGAAAAATTAATGTAAGAATAAAGGATAAAATTAACCTTTTTGTTTTTTGTTTTTTTAAATAGGGCGTTACTTTAGTACATTACTTACTTAGGAACAGATATGAAAGCCTACCAATTACGGCCCATGTTCAGAATGTCAGGCCCAACATCGTTAATTATCCGGCCCATAAACCATTGCAGTAACTTGCTACATTAGGGCTTTCTTCATCTTAAATCCTCCTCGAACATAACAGAGATAAATATGTGGAGGCCGGAGCTGCGCCACCTCATCCGCCGCCTCCTCCCCTCCTGTTCTCCATCCTCTCTTCATCTCACTCCAGCTGTACGATCACTCTGCTCCTCTCCTTCGTCCTCCTCCGACGATCTCGCCCTCACTATCTCTACTGAACTCACCAACTTCGCCTCTTCCACCAACCAGTCATCCTCCCTTGACCTCCCACGCCACTTCTCCCTTCACTTCTCCGACGTTCGCTTCAACACCCCTTTCCTCCTCGAGATCCTCAACATCTCCCCCTCTGCGGGTCGCGCGGCCATTGACTTCTTCCGTTGGCTCGTCCGCCACCGCGGCTTCACTGCCAATGATACCTCCCTTTCCCATATCATCAACTACCTTGGCCGGCGCCATGACTTCAAGGCCGTCCATGACGTGCTTCTTGAATTCCGCGTCGCCGCAGGCCGCGAATCATTCTCCGCAGCCCTCGATCGCCTCATCCGTGCCGGTCGCGCTTCGCAGGCCGTCCATTTATTTGACTGCATTGAGCGCGACTATGGTATAAAGCCCGATCTCGCGGCTCTTTCTTTCCTCGTTTCCTCTCTCTGCAGCCATGGATTCACCGGCCACGCTGAGCGTGCAGTCAAGCGTCTCGCTGACGTAATCTTCCCTAGTGAGCAGATCTGTTACACTCTGATACGAGGATACAGTGATGAATTGAAGCTTGAAGATGCTAAAAGGCTGATGGGAGAGATTATTCGTGGAGGTTTTGATCTCGGTACGCCTGCATATAATTCCATCATTGATTGCGTTTGTCGGCTCTGCCGGAAGAAGGATCCGCTCCGGCTATTACCGGAGGCGCAGAAGCTTCTTCTTGAGATGGAATCAACTGGGATTCCTCGAGATCAGGAAACTTTTCACGTGCTTATTTATAATTTGTGTAAGATAAGGAAGACTGGGGATGCAATGAAGCTATTCCAGGAAATGAGTCAATGGGGATGCTCTCCTGGAGCTGAGACCTACCTTGCTCTGATCCGAAGCTTGTACCAGGCGGCTAGGTTGTCAGAAGCTGAAGAAATGATTGGTTTTATGAGGTCTGCTGGTTTTGGGAATTCACTTGATAGGAAAGCTTATTATGGATTCATCAAGATTTTGTGTGGGATTGAGAGGGTGGAGCATGCAATGAAGGTTTTTAGAAGAATGAAGAGCTATGGCCATTTGCCAGGGATCAAGACGTATGAATTACTGATAGGGAAGTTGGCAAGTCATAATGAGGTTAACTGGGCGAATGGACTGTTTAAGGAAGCTGTAGGCAGGGGTGTGCCTGTTGTTTCCAAGGTGTACAAGGTAGATCCAAGGTATGCAAAAGCTAAAAAGGAGAAGAAGGAAAAGAAAAGGGAAACCTTTCCGGAGAAGATGGCAAGGAAGAGGAAACGGCTGAAGAAGCTGAGGCTGAGCTTTGTTAAGAAACCAAAATCAACAAGGAGATTTGTTTGACCTTGTTTACAAGTGGATTGTATTGTTGGTATGCCCTCGTTTCATTTATGCTATTTATTTTCTTTTCTTCTTTGATACATATAAGAGCTGAGATGAATGGATAAAGGATGTTCTGGTTTTCCTTCCATTGGCACAATTAATTGATCCACAAGAGCACCTTTTTTTACAACATGCTTTTCTTGTTCAACTTTTATTGTTTGTCTTGTGGAAAATGTTTAATCTACTATAATTGAAGTTTAGGCAGCAACATTTTGCAATTTGTTCTCTTAATCAATAGGGACAGCTTATTATAAGGTTTATAAGGTGTTGGAGATGTTGGAGCATTTAAATTATTCTTTTTCTTAATCAAATATTACAATTTTATTAGTTATCATTGTTCTCTAATTAACTTTCTGATAGGAAACACTTGAAGATTTCAAGTAAATACTATCAAGAGAGCAAAAACAGCGAGAAATCTCCATGATTCCAATGGAAAACCAGTGAAAAATAGTAATTTAATTGCAAGAAAATAAACTACGGAAGAAAATAAAAAGATAAAATTGATCCTCTATTCGAGAGGAGGATCGATCTCTCCCAAATCTCTAGACGCCGCTAGAGCCTAAAGAAAATATATGAGATCTCAAATTTCAGCCAAATTTAATATGCCCTAACCCTAGAAAAACAAACTATTTGATGTATACAAATCAAAAGTAAATCCCTAAATAGACCCTACATTTAAATTTCCCTTCTAACTCCCTCAAAAATTCTTCCTAAACAGTCCATGCACGTCAGGGCGTGCATTCGGTGCGTACGGGAGGCGGAAATGTCTGCCACTGTTCGCGTAAGCCGGTCCCGTCGGACCGGCTGGAACAGTAACAATTTCTTGGTACTTACAACTGAACTAGCATGAGAGAGAGCAATTGCAGCTGAATAGTATTTTCTGGTTTTCTTTAATTATGATTTTTTTTTCTTTATTGAAGTTCTCTCTCTTTATAATAAGAAGTTTTCTACGAAAGTGCTTTTCGTAGCATTTAGCATTGTGTAATAAGGACTATGCTTTAGATCCCAAGGCATTTGGATGGTAGTGAATATTAGGATAAAAAACAATCTGATATAGCACATAAACTTGTAAAAACAAATGTTTCTGGTTCAACAAAGATTAGAGAAAAGAGAATAATGAATGGACTACCTTGGATTGATAGATGATATTGCTGCTCATTACTTTGGCCCTCCAATTTATGATTTAATTCACCATCTAACTTAAGAAAACTAGCCCCCAAAATGAGGTTTTCCTTGCGGCCACATCTGTGTAACTTTGGTACAAACTGAAGACAGTCAGGAGCGGATCTAGCTATTTTTTTAGGGTGGGCAAAAAAAAAAAAAAATTGTGAGGGATGGACAGATGCTTAGAATTGATAAAAAGTAGGGCAAAAAAATTTTTTGAGGGGGGCAAAATGCTCAAAATATCCAAAATATTTCAAAATATCTCCTCTAAATATTTAAAAAAAAATTTAAGGGTGGGCATTTGCCCACCTAAGCATTTATCTATTCTCTTATGATATATTTTCAAATCTTATTTTCAAGTACCTCAAATAGAGTTTGCGGTATTGTATGGTAGTGTATGGAGAAAAAAATTTAGAAGATATGCACTAGGAGATGTGATATAGAGAAAAATACATTGCCGTGTGTTGATCATCGTTACCTAATAACAGTTCGAGTCTTAATGTTGTCAGAGACTTTAGCTGGGCTTAATCATTTTTTATAGGCTTAAGGGGCATAATTTATAGAATTTTTCCTGTTTATGGTGTAGGCATATCAAGATGAAGATGGAGGTTTCATCAAACTTATCTTTCGGATGAGAGTTCTACTCTGAAGATGAATTTGATGAGAAAATTTTTGCTTCTCATCAAATTTGACATTTTTTTAAATTAAAGTTATTTTTTTGTGGCAGGATGAAAATAATTATGCCCTTTTTGAGTAGAGGAATACCCAATAAAGACACAATTTTTAGTGCTCTACATGTTTATCCTTATTTCATTTGTGGATGAGGACATAGGCAATATGCCAAAGATTTTTGGAGAAATTTTTTTTTATATAATAAACAATTCAGGTAGAAAATCTTTAAGATTTTTGAAGTCAATCACATTAAAGGACATTCTATTCAGTAGATATGTGGCAGTTATGATACTTTCTCTAATATTTTTTTAGCATTTGATTTTGGAAGAGAAAAGTCCTGGTTACTTCCAAAAGATAACCATTTTTTTTAGTCATTCTATTTTGTTGGGGAATGCCAAGACAAGACGATTGATGTATGATACATTCTTTCTGAAAGAAAGCTAATAATATATGATTAAATAATCATGAGCATTATCTGTCTGAAATACATTGATGTTAGCATGTAATTGTTTTTGTATCATGCAAGTAAAAGATGGGATGAATAGTTATGACATCAGATTTTTATTTGATAAGATATAGCAATATTAGCCAATTGCATTCATCAATGAATGTAAGATTCCAATAGCTTCAGAAATATCGGAAGTTTTTTATGGTCCCAAAATGTCAAGAGTAAACAACTAGAAAAAAATTAGAGGATCTAGATTCACTTTTAGGAAAACAAAATGATTATTGATCATTACTTCTTTGGCTTGTATGACAGGAAAAAAATTCATTTAATAATAATAGTTTTTCTCTGCTTAAAATTTGAACACAAATTTGATTGAAAATTTTTTCAGGTTCTGCAAGGAACATGAATCCATTTTTTTCTAACAAATTGCTTGAAAATTATCATATCATCATAAAATGTTATCTTGAAATCTTTGCAATAATCCATTTCATAACAATAAATCTTCATTGCATTAAATACTTAACAATAAGGAATCACCATTCATGATGATTGACTCATGAGAACAGAAGTAAACAAAAACTAGACATAATAAAGATAATGAAGAATCACAACCGGAAGAAAAGAAAATAAAGGTTGGAAGGAGTAAACTCTAACCTAGTTGTGAGATTATATTGAAAAGTAAAAAAATATATATTTTGAATTTTATTGCTTGATTTTGTGTAAAGTATAAAATGATGTATATATTTCTCCAAAAATCTTACAATGAAAATAAATTGAAGTTATTTATAAATGAAAAAGAAAAGTTTCTAAGAGGGCCAATGGTTAGAAGAAAAAGCTGAGGCATAAGGATTACTATCTAAGAGCATCTCCAACCGAATGCCAAACGAGCTTATGGCGTCGTTCGGTCGCTCTAGCCGAATGCCAAATCTTCCGCCATTTACTTGCGGGTGATCAGTGGGACGCCAATATTGGCGTTGCACTGTTCACCTATGCTATTTTGCTCTCTCAACTGAAAAAAATGCGCGAAAGGGAGAAGGATCGTTACCTTCGCAGAAGCACATAAAATGGCGTTCGATTGGAGCATTGCCACGGCATTTTGGAGTTTTGTTGTATTTTGCCTTGAAAAATAGAGTTCTCTGTTGGAGATGCCCTAAGCTTTGCATCTCTGCAAATAATAGAATCGGCAGTACAACTTAGCATCCAAATATCCAACACTTCTAGATTGTCTCCTCTACATCATCTATAATAGAAGACCAAGGTTTAAAATTGCGTAAATAAGCCTCGAGGCGGTTTTCGTCCGTGAGGCGAGGTGTAAGCCTCGAGGCGGTCTGAGGCGTAAGCCTCACGGACACAGAATTGCGTAAATGAAAAAATAAGGGTTTTAGCAGGAAAATAATAGCAATATTGTACCTTACAATAAAAACATCTAAATGATATATGAAAATAGTGGAAAGTAAGAAAGTAGATGCAATAAAATCATGTCCCAAAGTACAAAGTCACAAAATATTAGTTTAACAAAACTACCAAAGTAAAAAAAACATATAAAATGCAATCATATCCCATCACTAAATGGGTTTTCAAGGGAATCTTCTTCTCCAATTGTATCTATGAATGTCATGTCATCACCATTTTCAATATGACTCACTTTTCTCTTCCCTGTTCAATAAGAGAAAAGATCATTATCATGTTAATTGCTCACTTGACATAAATGTAATGCAATAGCAATAAGAAATTGTGGAATACCTTTACTT